TCTCCAGCAGCCTTCTCACGACCTTTTCTCCCCTCCGTTCCAGTCGGGTGTGTGGGGACGCAAGCAGGGACCTGGTGCTGGAGAAGCTGAGTCCCGCCCTGCTCAGCACCAACTTCTCGTGTGTGTCCGTGGACCCTGAGCGGGTTGCCCAGCATCACGTCGTCCTGGCCCAGCTCTGGGTGAGGAACCCCAGGGAAGGCCTACAGGAGCAGAGCAGCTGTGCTTCCGTGTAGGGGGGGAAGGGTGGGCTCTGCCAGAGCAGCCTCCAAGCTAATGCCCACCGTTCCCCAGGTGGAAACAAAAAGGAACTTAGGACTCGGGCAGGGGAGGCGGGGCTTGGAGCCAAGTGACAAGAGATGTCTGCCCCTCCATTCCTTGGCCCTGATCTTTGTCTGCCTTTATTTCCCCAGGCTGGGCTGAGGACAGCCCCATCCCCCAGCCACAGCCCAGGGCCACAGCTGCCTACAGCCGTAGGAATCGGCACAGGGCCGGCAACGGCTCCACCTTGACCAGAGCCTGGGCACAGCCCACCGGGAGAGTGAACAGTCCTGACTGCCCTCAGGCTGTTCAGGGGAGCGGCTCATCCTCCCATCACCCCCCCATCTTCTCCTGTGTTGGCTCCCTTCTCTCACCAGATCCAAACTCCCTTTCCATCCACCTATAAAGTCACAATAATCTCCTTAGTGCTTCCTCCTGCCATTCTCTTTCCAAGAGCCTGTGACTTTACTTTTTTCTTTTTTTTTGAGTCGGAGTCTCGCTGCCTCACCCAAGCTGGAGTGCAGTGGCACGCTCACGGCCACCCCAGCGTCGACCTGCTGACTCCAGCGAGCCTTCTGAGTAGCCAGAAATACAGGCATGTGCTACCACGCCCAGCTAGTTTTTGATTTATTGTACAAATGAGGGCTCACCGTGTTGCCCAGACTGGTCTCGAACCAGCAGGCTCAGGCAATCCTCTTACCTCAGTCTCCCAAAATGCTGGTATTACAGGCTTGAGCCACTGCACCTGGCACCTGTGACTTTTCCAATGTCCTACTCCTGATCCTGCTCTACTGCTGGGAAACCACCAAGACTGTCGGTGCCTTAGCCTCGCAATCAAAGTCCCTTCATGTTTCTCATGTGACTCTGCAGAGGCCCGAAGTATTCTTGTTTCCAGACCACTCCCACCCTCACACCTCTGCTCTTATGACCCCCTCTTCCTCACTATTCCAGCAGGGACTCTAAAGCCTGGTTCAAAGGCCATCTCTTCAGTGAAGTCTACCCTCTTTGAGTTCTGGCCACATTTGGCACTGTCTTCATGCTGTACGTTTCTTTCACTCTAAGGGACTGTTGCAGGGAAGGGATGCTGGGGCAGTCTCAGCTTCAGGCCCACAACCGTGTCTCTGTCATCCCCACGCAGGTCTTCATAAAGGACTGTCTAGTGGAAGCATCTATGACATCTGCTCATTCAGGCCTCAGGGCCACTCACAGAAGCTTCGCCTATCCCAGGAGGGGGTCTGGAAAGTGGGGCTGCCATGCAGAAGCCAAAGACAAAACGAGATTCAGGGGAACACAGGCCCTCAGCAAAGAAGAGAACAGCCTCACATGCTCCCCAGAAACAGAGGCCGGAAATGGCATGTGGGAAGAGCCTGGGAAAATGTGGTCCCAGGAAGAAGGGGTGAGAGAAGGCAGGTGGTCTGGAAGACTTCAGGGACAAGGTCGGCTCTAAAAAGCCTATGTTTCCCTCCTTTGTCCACAGATAAAGGCAGGTCAGCACTCAAGGGAGAAAAATAGACTTTATTTACAAGTAATAACATTTAGAAAAGATCCATCCCCGGCCCTTAAAAACCTTCCCATCACTCCAGATCTCACCCCAGTACAAGTCTGGGGCAGGTGGGGTGTGAGCTGCCGTCGAAGGCCGTCCCCCACCACACTCCTGAGACACAGGGCCGTCTGTCCTAGCTACGAGCAGCCTCTAGCAGGTGCTCCCACCGGGCCATGCCCAGGATGGACTTCAAGAGCAAGGGCCCCTGCTAGGCCCAGCCACCAGGAGCAGCAGGAACCAGGGCCTGCTCCTCCAATGGTCCCTTCTAGATCCAGAGGCTGAGAGGAAGACCGACTAGGCTCAAGGACCCAGCCACTCAAAACCAGCCCCCGATCTGGTTGTGATGGAGAGTGACTTTGCTCTGAGAGAAAACCAGGAGGCAAGGGAGGGAGAGCGCCTACACTGTCCAAGCCCCAGGCCTCCCGGGCCAGCTCTGAGAAGGCGCCAGTGAAGGTCTAGGCACCAGACCAGGACCCGAGCAGGCCTCACTGTCTCTAGGGGTGTGGCTGCCATTGGCCCATGAGCGGAGAGAAGGCACTGAGAGGGACAGTAGAAGGAGAAGGACCAGGTGAGGTCAGCATGGGGGACACGGGTGGGGCCACTCACTGGTACTGGCCCTTTAGTGCTTTGCCTGAAAGAGACAGAGACAGTCACGTGGCCAGACAAGACTCATGATGCCAGCCTGCACCCACTGGCTCAGGAAGGCCGCCCTACTCCCACACCATGACTGGGATCCCCTCCTTTGTGAGCCCTGGACATATCTAGTTCCTGGCTGTGCCTAAGAAGCTCTGGGTGTTCTCGGTGGGGAATGGGGCCGTCTGTCTCCTCAGTAACGAGTGGCTAACCAGGACAGATACCTCTCCCAACTGCCCATGCCCCGATGACCTAGCTTGGCCTTGCCTTGGATGCTGCCCCTCGGGGTGGTCTGGGGGGTGCCCGTGCCTTCTTCGGGTCTCCCTCCCCTGTCCCTGCCAGTGCTTCTACCTTGCCCTTGGCTCGAGGGGTGGCAGTGGCAGTGGCGGCACTGGCTGTGGTGGCAATGCGCGGAGAGCGGCGTGTTCCACTGCGGGTACTGGGGGAGGCCTTGGATGGGGCCTTCTTTGAGGCCCCCCGTCGCAGAAGGCTGTTCCCCAGCTTCTTGGGTGTGTTGAGAATGCTGAAGGCCATCGACGGGCGCTGGTTGGCCTGCAAGGAAGGGACAGAGGGAAATGTGCTGCTGCCTTCCTACTGCGGCTCCAGGGCTGCCTTCCTGCTGCGGCTCCAAGGTCCGCCAGGGCCTTCCTCCTCCACCAACCCCAGCCTCACCTGCTTGGCAGCAGCCGGAGCTGCTTTCTTCTGGGCCTCAGTAGCGCTCTGCTTGCGCCCTTCATGTCTGTCCCGGGGTGTCATAGGACGTGGGAAACAGCTGGTGGCCTTCTTGGACTGTGGGGAAGAGGACAGCTAGACAGTGGCAAGAGGATGTCACGTTCCAAACCAGGTATTTTGTTCTGTCCAGCTCTGAGCCGAGGCCTCCCTTCCCAAGTCACATCCCTTGGAGGGAGAGGGACGGAGGAGGCTCCCTTTAATCCTTGGTGAGCTGGGCCTGACCCAGACACAGTGCTGGACAGAACAAAATACAGGCACAAACATCACCTACCTCAGGAGTGCCGGGGCCCTGGTGAGACTCCGTGGAGACCCGTTTGCGCTGCTGCCGGGTGGTGATGCCAGTGCCCTCAGCTATCTGGACTGGCTGCATGCTGGCTCTGCGCAGGGTCTCCCGAGGGTCTCCGGTTTTCATCTCCTCATCTGTGATGGTCGCCAGGCTCAGGGAAGGCTGCACAGGGTGAGAGAGGTGGTCAGTGGACCCCAGCTGTGTGGAGATGGGGCAGGAACTGGGGCTGTCCCAGAACTCCTCACTTGCCTGGCACTTGGAGCTGCTGGACCCTCCCCACCTCATGAGCCCCCCTTCCTGTTCTCTACCTCTGCCCTGGACAACAGCCATGAGAAGAGCAGCCCCGAGCAGACTCCCGAGCTCCCCCCGCCCTGGTCACCCACAGGGATTGTGCCTCTGAGCTCCCTCCCTGCTATTCCATCTGGAAGCATGAGAAGGTCATCCTCCCTCCTTAGCAGGCCAGAGAACCAGGGCTAGACCAGCAGGTGGCACTCCAAGGGAGGAGGGGGTGAGCTAGTATGGGATGTCGAGCACAGTGACCCCAGGGCTCACCCTGGACTCCAGGGGATAGCAGGTCTTCAGGTGTGGGGGACACACGCGATTGCGCTGCTGCAACTCTGCGATGCGGTTCCAGTCGTCCAGCTGCTCAGGCTCGTCCTGGCAAGTGCCCATGTAGAAGCTGTTCCTTCCTGTGGAGGGCAGGGAAGTGGGGGCAGATGGGGCTGGATTCAGCAGGTTGCTCACTCCACTGGCCCTGCTGGCTGCCACCATTCCCTTCCACCTACCCCAGGAATTAAGCCCAGCACACTAGGCTCCTGCTCTGATTCAAGTACAAGAGCAAGGCACAAGCCGGGCTCGGTGGCTCAGCCTGTAATCCCGCACCTTTGGGAGGCTGAGGTGAGTGGACTGCCTGAGCCCACGGGTTCGAGACCCACCTAGGCAGGCGAGACCTCATCTCTACAATAAATCAAAAAATCAGCCAGGCGTGGTACCGCATGCCTGTAATTCCGGCTACTTGGAAGGCTGAGGCGGAAGGATCGCCGGAGCCCAGCAGGTTGAGGCTGCGGTGGCCGGGAGCGGCCACTGCACTCCAGTCTGGGTGACAGAGTGAGACTCCAACTCAAAAAAAAAAAAAAAAAAACAAGAGCAATTCTAATCTGGGGAGGTCAGAAGAGGTCACATGCAGAGGCTGCGACTACATCTTAATCACCTGCCAACGCATGGTGCCCAACACCAAGAGAATCAAATTGAGAGCCAGAAAGTAATTCCTAGGGACTCCTTAGAGCCCAAAGGGCAAGAGGTGCCAAGAAGTGTCTGGCCAGCCTGGCTTTTCCAGCGGCCCACTGTCCCCTGAGAAGGGTGTGGAGAACTCCTTACAGTTAGGGCATCCCAGGCCCCTTATGTGAGCATCCCTGGTTCATCCTGCTCGAGTGCCCAGCACAGACCCTAGATTGACAGGTGGGGCCCTGAGCCTGTGGGGAGGAGGGGTGGGCGGGGCTGGAAGGCAGCAAGGAGGCTAGCCTTGGAGTTTTAAAAGCCTGCCTCTGCTACGCCAGGATCTACCTTCTAATCTAACCTTTGGGCGGGGAAAGTCCTGCAGTCCCCTCACCTGGAGGGGCCCCACTGGACACCCCAGCCTGCGAGCGGCGAGCAGAGCTTCGAGTGGTGGGCCGGTAGCCAGGCAGGCTGAGCAGAGCCGAGTTGCCATCATCGGGGGAGCCCAGGCGGGCTAGAGACTGGGAGGAGGAGGTGGCTCGCAGGCCAGCCTGGGAAGCAGGTCCAGACTGTGTGCTGTAGAAGGACGAGTTGGCGCTGTCTGGCTCCTCCACATCTAGCTTCTGGAAGAGAAAAAATGTTGCAGTGGGGTGGGCCTGACACTGTCTAGAAGCCTTTCATCCCTCCCGAAGCCCCAGATCCCATGGCACATATACAGGTGCTCCCAACTGCTTTGCAAGGGTCCTTAGCATGCATGTCTACAAGAAATAGGCTAGAGGCCCTCACAGGTGCTGAAGTTGCCAACGCTTCTATCTGCTTTTTCATTGAGTCTATTAATATGAAGGAGGGAAGGAAGAGTGTTATCAGCCCATTTTAGAGGTGAGGTTCAAAGAAATGAAGTGACTAGCCCCGGTCACATGGCCAGGAAGTAGTAGAGCTGAAGCTGGACCCCACGCCTTCTGCCTGTGTGGTCAGGCTTATCCCACAGCCTGGGCGGTCACTCAGTCTAAGTTTCCAGGGCCCCGGCCATCTTCTAGAACTTCTCCAGCTTCTTAGTAGTAGCAGAGGTCCTCCCTGCTGTACCAAAGGCAAGAGCCCACAGCCT